CTGCCAGTCAGAATAGATAATCCTGGGCAGAGTAAACAGCCAGCAGCCATCAGAGATAGAAAGTGAACCTCCTTACTCCAAGGTAGTATAGCTGCAAATAAAACTGGTTGGGGACAAAGAAGAGGGGATGGCACATCCATTATGTGCCACTTGTGAGTTTCCCAGGTGCATCTGAATTGGAGACAGAAGGTCCACAGAACTTTGGTCTAATTCACGCTGTTAGTCCCAGCAACCTGCGCAAGCAGAAACTAGGTAAGCTCACACTGTGAGCTGCAAGAGGATATGGTGGGCATGCCCACAGTCCCTGGGGCTGTTCCCATCATTCCTGGTGAAAGGGACAACCTTTGCAACCTCTGGTCCTGGAAGTTCTTACAATGGAATGAAAGATCAAGACATAACAATGGCATGATTAGGTTTACTCCAAGTAAGGTATTTGCTAAAAGAAAAATGCAAGCATGCAGACAGTCCTCCCCAGTCTGCTGCCCAGATGGGGCTTGTATTTAGAGATGTATAAGAAATTTATTTCGGCTTGTGAGCAGGATTTACCCAGGGTTTGAGGTGTTTTTAACTGAGTGAGCGTACTAAGCATAAACTTGAACATGACCCACATTCTCCATTTCATACTATACTGAGCTATTGGAAGGAAATAAGTGACGAGACAACTCATGCAACTGTCAAATAGTAATAAAAAATGCTCGCCTTCCTCTTCCACCTTCCTCCCTGGCTCCAAAGTTCAAATGAGGAGAAAATACATGATTTCAACAGCTCTGCAAGTAAGGATCTTTGGCCTGCAGACAGATTCGCCAATGATGACAGATTTTAACAAAGGAAAGAGTGTTTGCCATTGTCTGTGTTTATGATATATAGTGTGGGTGTGTGTGTGCGCGCGCGCGCACAGGGAGCTGAAACTATGCAACTCTGCTGGCCCGTCTAACTGCTGGTATTAATTTTTGCAGTGCTTAAAGAGGCAATCTGGTGTAGTGGTTAGCATGGCTGGACAGGGACCCAAGAAATCTGTGCTCTAGTCCCCAGTCAGTCACAAAGCTTCATGCATGACTTTGGGCCAGTCACTGACTCTCACTGTAAACTTCCTTGTAGAGTTGTTTGTCAGGATAAAACAGAGAGGAGGTTTTAGTAAACCATCTTGGCTTCTATATAGGACAGAAAGAAGAATGTAAAGCAAGGCCAGTATGCAACTATTGTGATTCTGTAATGCATTCTTTTTGAGGCTTCTGCAAGGCATCTAAGCAAGCTTGAGGCCTTGTTTTGTTACTGTCAAAGGTCCATGTGTTTGCTGTTGAGAGATATTCAGAATGGGGAGAGAGAGAGAATTGCTCTGAATAGTGTTAGATGGGGCCTGGATCAGATAAATTCAATTCCAGAGAGGTGGGAAAGAGAGGCAGGGAAATGGGAGTGAAGGCATTCCTGTTGACAGCTGAGTAGGGTCAGGGTTTGTAGCTGTCAGACAGGGAGGGCTGCTGGTTGGTGTGTGATGTTGTAAAAAAGGCTAGGTGAAAGCTGAGGAGAAAGTTAATAGCTGTCCTTTCTCTGTGAGATAACCTTGGGTAGTTGGTAAAGATCAGAGGAAAGGAGGAGGTTGGTAAGGCTACGATCTGGCCAGAGGAAGATGATATAAGGAGCTAGTAAAAACCCAAATAAACTCTCCAGACAGTCTGCAGTACAACAGTAGCAGGCTGGCTCTCAGGGAATATTTGAACCCCACAGTGCGTCTAGTTGTAAATGTACTAGGTTAGGACTTGGATCAGAGGTAAAAGAAGCCCTTAGCGGCTTGGGGCAACAGCAGAGTCTCCTGAGTCCTAATCTATTAGGAGTTCCTTAGGCCCAGAAACGGAAGCATTTACTCTAGATAAGGAACCCCACACGAGGCTGCCCAGTAAAGGAGACATTTCCCTATATGTGCTTCTGGTTGTGGTGTGAGGAAATCCTTCACAGAGAAGAAATGGTGCAATCCTATGTTTCCTGATATACTCCCATATAAGACTGTCGCCTCAGGCTGCAGTACAGGCTAAAACCCTATGCACGCTTACGTGAAAGTAAACCCCATTGACCTTAATGGGATTTGCACCCGAGACAGCATGCATCGGACTGCACTGAAAGTTAAGAACCTAGATGTTCCAATCCAAATCTCACCTCTGCCAGGAACACAATAGGACAAATTTAGGTAAGTCACTATCTCTCTCAGACTCACTTCCATCCCATTTCCCTTCTATCGAAAGTCATACTAACCTATTTTACAGGACTGGTGGAAAGACTGCACTGAAGAACGCAAAGCAATGTACAGATCCTCCTCTGCTCCTTTTTTATTCTCACATCAACCCTGTGAGGTAGCTTGGACTGAGAGTCAGTGGCTGGCCCAAAATCACCCAGTGAGCTGTATGAACAAACAGGGACTAGAACCCAAATTTCCTGAGTCCCAGTCCAACATTCTCACCATTACGCCACTTCATTAGAGAATGAAGGAAGGGTTAATACCCATGAAGCCCTAAGCACTTTAGGAAGGAATCTCCAAATGAGTTTTGCAGCACTGCACATCCTGCTTTCTAGTTTTGTTTCTAAAGAGGAGACATTTTTACAGTTCAGGAGAGCCTTTATTAAAGTATTTCCATGTGTCAGTCATGAAACGTAAGTGAGCCAGGACACCAAGCTTCACACTAAATGAAGTTTTAAATCCCCTGTAAAGGAGAACTGAACTGTTTGAGTCTATTGATCTGCGTTAGTCAAACAAGGTGAATCTTCTGCGTGCCACGCATGTATTATTGCAATCTTCCTCCATCCCTTGCCCTGGATAATGCATTCTGCAAGCTTTTATTCTGGTTTTGACAATCACAGGGAGAGCAAGCCATTTTGCCGGGCACTGAAGCCCTATCCCAAACTGCTAGATTCTTCAGTCACTGGGAAGTATCTGAAATTTCAGCAGGCACCGGCCTTTCACTTTCAGGTGTATCTTATGCACCTGGGCTAGAAACCTGTTCAAAAGAAGCAAACAAAAACAAACAAACAAAAGCGGGCAGCTGAGTTTCAAAGACCTTAAATTCTGCCTCTGCTCACAATCACATTCTGCAATACCTTTATGCTTCTGTAGATCTGTAACAGAAGCTTGGGCCATACCTTCTGGACACCTTTACCCTGACCATACAGGCAAGAGCCAATTCTATAGGAATCCTTTACCCTATTTTGCACTGGTCTCCTCTTTGTAAGACTGTAAGCTCCTCAGGGTCAGGGACCTATTTAATTTCCACTCTGTGCCACACGGTTCAAATAACAAGGCTGCAATAAATCAGCCTTTGCCATCCAGGGATCAGCTCAGACCACAGAGCTTGCAAATACAGGCTTTTTGTTTTTTAGTTAATATTTGATTGCTTTGTGCTTGCAACGGGAAGAGGGTGAAAGGGGATCCTAGACCAGGCTGGGACAGACAGGACTGTACTAGAACAGCCATTCCTCCACCAGCCGCTGCCCTGCCCTCTCTGCCCACACCGGATGGATGCAAAGGCTTATGCAGGGCTCTGTCCCGAAGTGTCGCACCAGGGCAACATCCTGGAAATTTTACTGCAATGAACCCCCCACCCCACTGCTTTACACAGGACGCCTGCCAAAGCAGCAGGCCTCTGGAACTTGTTCGCATTCCCCCCACCTGTGCAAGATAATTTAGCCATGCAAAAAGATGCGTCGGGGCTGGCACGGCAAGAGAGAAATTGCTGCCAGCATCGCCCGCTGGGCCAGGGCCCTTGCTGGGAAGGCCCCCCCCCCCCCCCAACATTTCAAATGCAGCTGCTCTGCACCGCTTCTGTCAGCCACCATGACGTAACCAGCAGAGAGCCGGGCTCGACCGCCGGACGTCAACAAGCCCTGACCTAGAACGAAAACCGGACACGGCACCCTCCCCGGGCGCCGGGCAAGCGAAGGCCTTCTCCAAAGGGGTCCCTCGCTGCAGACAGCACGGCGTGGAGAACGCACGGCCTAAATGTGCGGCGTTTGAAGGATTTCAAAACCCGTCTAGAGTGAGGCCCTGCACAAAGCACTCTCCTCAGAACCGGCAAGCTGTCTGCGGCCCCAGAGAAGCAAAAGTGCATGCATTAGGAGGAGTTTTAAAGTGTGCACAGACGTCCAGGCCGTCATTCACGTTTGCCAGTCAGGAGCAAGTTCAAGTAAGCATGCATAGGACGGCAGTCTGGACAGTCCGCCTTGCTTTTTCAGCTTCATACACAGAAGCAAAAACTGTAACGCGCCGTGCACAGGCATGATCTGCAGCGTATTGCACAGCCAATGCATGCCTCGTTTACATGGCAAAACATTCACGCCGCAGCGCTACAAAAGAGCTCGCTAGCACATCGCAGGCGGACTACCAAGCGTCTGTTTGCAAGCGTCTCATGTAAACAGCAACACGAGCAATCTTGTAGTACCACCTCTGTCTTAAAGTGCACACCACATACATCATTTAACAGTGCAGCCTCAACTTAAATCGGGGGGTAGGGATTGTAATAAATCAATAAATGCATACATAAAACAGTCAGAGGCTTTTAATTAATCGAAAACAGACGCCAATAACCCGTGAACCGTTTAAACCAGAGTCATACTTCAACTTGCTTAGTTCGGCTGTGGCCTACGCTATGCAAACGGTTTGCATGTTTCTGTGCACGGTCAAGGGTGCAAATACAGGTCTTTTCTGGAATGACTCCTTATACACGCTGTTTATTAAGAACGGCAGGATGAAGCGTTTGTTTACAAAGGAGTGTTGCTTAGATTCGACTCCCACATATAAAATGCCATTTGATGACAAGAGACCGGCAACAATCGGCAACAAGGCCCAATGCAACAACCACGTAGAAAAGTTCGCAATTTTTTAAAAAACGCAATGACGGTTCCCCCTTGATCGCAAGCAATGCACCCCAAAACCCGAGAAAGCCATATATCGCCAAAGAGACCCACAACAGAGCAAAGCACTGACAAAGAGAGGAGAAAAAGATCCGAGCGCTCACCTCCCCTTCAAAGCTGTAAAAATCACCGTTGCAATTGGCCAGCATTCGGTCCATTAAAACACCATGATTGTGGCTGCAACCGGGGAAGATGCTTGCTTGGTGGCTCTTTGTTAGTTCCCTGCTTTTTCCATGTTAGGCCGGGAAGAAGCGGCGCCCGCGACTGCTGCTCTTGTTGCCGCCGCCTGCGGGCTGGTTCATGTCTCCATGGTGGGTTTGGAGCCCCGACTCGTGTGTTGCGGGCGCAGGGAGGGAAGGAACCGGGCTGCGGGGATCCGTCCCTCTCTTCACGGGGAGACTAAGAGAAAGACCTGGCCCTATTGTTGTGTTGCTGCTGCCCCCGGGGCAGAGAAAAGCGCCTCGCTCGCTTGGGGAAGGGAGGGGAGGAAGCGGGGGGGGGCGAGGCAAAGCAAAAAGCAAAAGAACAAAAAGAAAAAAAGGAGGGGAGGGGAGGGGGCGGAAAACAAAAACAAGACACAGGAGTGGAGCGGAGAGCAAGCCGCTTCCCGGGGGGAGCAGGGGAGGGAAAGAAGCGCCGGCAGCGCGCGGCCGAGCCTCCTCCCCCGGCTCGGCGTTGCTCCTCCTCTCCGCCTGCGTGCGAAGGAGACCGTGCCGTGGCGGCGGGAGGAGAGGCGAGGAGGAGGAGGAGGAGGAAGGGCTCAGCTCCGCGAGGCTCGCCTGCTCGGCCGCGCGCGCAGCCCTGCGGAGGGAGGGGGCGCCGAAGCGGCTGCGGGCACCCTCTGCGCACCCCAGGCAGGCATCTGGGACCGGCTGAATTTGCTCTCCTTCTGCCTTTGGCCCTCCCATCGCGGAAAGGGTAGAAGGATGCGGAAGAAGCGGAGTCTGGCCTTGCGGGGTGCAACCCCGTGGAGGGTGCACGTTTGAAGGAACCCCGGGCAACCCAGGAGCGCGGCTGGGGAATGCTGAGGATGTTGGCTGCGGAAAACAGCCATGGGATCGCGCCCTTGGTGGCTTGGATGGCTGCCTGACGTTTCCGCGCACTGCTGGCGCGTCTGGCTTTGGGGTACTCCCGACTTTCAGGGACTTCTCTGGAAAGGCAGTTACGAAACCTGAGAAGTAATGCAAAAACAGTGCTGAAGTGGAGGAGTTGGTGCCCCTTCCCGTAGAACTCTTCGGGCTTTTCTAGAGTAGGGCAGGGTCGCCAGACGTTTTGGTCGACCTCTCCTGCTTTCTCGCTCCGTTGGCTATGCAGGCTGGTACTGAAGGGCCAAAACGCGGGACAAGCAATTTGCCCACCCATGTTTCCGAGTAAGGCCCACTGAACATAGTGGGTTTTCTGCATAAACATGGGCTTTTTTAAAAATACTGCATTGCATTTATATCTCACACCCCTTTCCTCTTGTGTGGAACTTAAAACCAGAGTTCCCTGGTCCCCAAGCCAAGCCAACCCGCGTATCACACCGCTGTTCAACCGAAGTATGGCACTGGGCCAGCTTTCGGAAGGGCAGTCCTGGACATGCTACTGGAGAAAGCAAGACCCACCAGATGGATTTAAGATTACTTCCTAGTACACACATGGGATCAAATTGCACAAATGGCTTGTGACATGAATAAAAGTGCAGCTTTTTGCTTGTTGCGAGCTCAACCTACTTTTCCCCCTGGTGCAGCCTAACCTTAAACAGGTTTACTTGGTATAAAATTGCACTGATTTATTTATGATCCAGTGTTATGTAAGGGTGCGATTCCCTGTGTGCTTACCTGGGAAAAAACCCCATGGACAGTCTGGGATTTGCTTTGAGAAAATAATTGTACAGGCTCTGGCTGCCTGCTTGCACTACTCTGTTTTCTTGGAATTAAGTAAGTGGGTTTATAAGTAAGTGTACACAAGCCTGAAGCTTTTCAGCTGAGGTACTTTGCAACTTCGCTGAGGAGTAATGTTTCTTGAATCAGACATTGTTCCAAGCCAATGTTCATGGGATTGCAGAATTAGTGCTTATAGCTCCAAGCCACTTTGCTGGGCACTTTGCATTCCTTTCATAAGCAGTTTCACAGATAAGAATTTTTGCAAAGCATAACACTTGGGAATACTTAGATTCTAGTCTTTGCCACAGTTTCATAGGAGATGATATGGGAAAGGATCGGCAGCGTGCAATGCAGAGATGTGGGTGAGAGAGAAAAAGTACAGCTGGATTTTCATATCTGGAAATCCATGGACCTTGGTATATGCTCATGTATCATTCACCAACTTCTGGAATTGCTTCCCTTTTCTCTTGTCTTTTTCAGTGCAAGCTAAATCACAGACTGTTAGCGGCTGAAGCCTTTCTTGCAGTAGTAATATGTGACAGGCTAAGCTTCATTGGCTTACTTTCTGTGCCAGGCCACCCTTAACAGCAGACTTGTTTGAAATAAGTGCGTCATCGTGTACTTAATGTTGTCATTGTGCATCTTGCTGTCTGGAGAATTGGATCTGTGCAAGGATACAGCTGTGCATCATGTAGATGCCCCCCGCCCTGCCGCTCCCAGAAGAGTGGTGCGTGTGTTTCTTTGAAATTAGTGGCACAGAAGATGTTGTGTTATAAAGAGGCGGAGAGGTTTGAGGACTGAGGCTGCAATATTTCTTCCCCTTCCATGTGAATAAATAAATATATGCATGGAAGAGAGAAAGATTGCCATTATGTCTAGATTATGAAGAATTATTAAGATTATTAAGATTACTATAGTACATATAATATGCATTATATATTATAGTATTTATGATATCATCCAATCATATAATTATACGATTATTATATTGTTAAGATGATTAATTATTGTCTATTAAGAACTTCAACAGAAGCCTTCTTATTTATTCCTCTGTTCCATTTATCTACCACCCAGTAACTGAAGTTCTCTTGATGGGTCACAGAAGTTAAAACCATAAAATACAAACTATGTGTGAAAACATAATATAAAACTCTTAAAAGATAAAAGCTGCAGTACAAAACCAGCAGCAATATGAAGATCAGAAGATTCAGTAACATGTTTACGAGGCAACAACAATCAAAGGACTGCAGTGGCTGGGAGGATATTAAGGTCTTACGCGGGTGCTGTAAAGACCACAATGTGGGTACCAGACAAGACTCTCTGGGGAGGGCATTCAACAACCAGGATGCCACAACTGAAAAGGCCCTCAGCTTAGTATTCATGCATCCTTCGTACTTTGAGGGAACTCCTGGAGTGAGCTTCTGAGGATGCTACTGGGGACTTGTGTGCCCTATATTTACACTTGATTTGAAAAAGGAAAGGAGGCATTTTTGGTGCTCCTGCCTAGCCTTGGAACACCATGCTTAAAGATTCTCTTCCTTGCCTGTTTTCCTCCTGAGCAGATTATTCAAACCACTTCATATGCATGATTACAATCCTGTAAGGTAGGTCAGTATCATCCATTCTCACACTGCAGATGGGGAGCAAAATCTGAGAGATTTGAGCAAAGATTTGCCAGATTACACAATGGGTACTCCGCTACACCAGCTCTTTGGCTGTATTTTAAAACATTCAAGGGCAATGGCAGACATGTAAGAAAGCAATGTTACGTTCAGTACACATAATGAACTGCTACACTGCTGCTTTAGTACCAAAAGCAATAGATACCACACATCTCTGACACAACAGAATAGAATGCACATTGCAAAGGGTTGTATACATTATAAAACCAATAAGCAAGATGATATTTATTTGCTTATTTAATTTCTATAACACATAACAGTCAAAGCTCTCTGGGTGGTTCACAACAGCACATGCACAATTAGAATGTATTAAATCATCATACAAGTAAACAAAAAAATTAAAACCAAATTTAAAACCTATTTTTTCTGCAATCCTATTAAACCCTGTTGAAAAACTAGCAGGCCCCAGTAACTAATTAAATGCCCTGCAGTAGAGAACAGTATTTACCTGGTGCCAAAAAGATAGTAAAGTTGACATCAGGTTGGCCTTATTGGAGAACTTGTTCCCTAATTGGGAGCCATCACTGAAAAGGCCCTTCTTGTTGCCTCCATCTAAGTCTCTCTCGGAAGTGTCAATAAGAGGAAGTCCTCAAAACTTGATCATAGTGCCCAGGTAGATATATTTTAATACATGGACTCAAAAGACTAGGGAAAATGAAATAGCGTCATCTATACATTGCAAAATGCTACAGAAATGAGAAGTATAATTTCATAATAAGGCATTCCAAAGCAGATGTGAAAATGGCCACCCTAAGATCTTTGTTCGTACGACGATGCTGGTTCACTATTTTGTGAAGTGCTTGTTGGCTCCAGTAAGGGCATTGTCTGACCTGTTACTTTCACATACTTACGGATCCATCGATAAAAACATTCCTTGGCCTGGTGTGTAGAAATTTTCAACACTGATATTGGCAGGTACCAGGCAATGTTGACCTCTGAGGACCATAGGAAGCTGCGGTATACCAAGCCAGGCCATCACACCATCTCGCTGACCCTCTCTAGGATTTCAGGTGGGATTCCTCCGGTGCACGATCTCAGGATTGGACTTTCTGCACGCCAACCACGTGTGCTGCCTCTGCAGACCCTCTGTTAAATGGATCCCCCCGCCCCGTCTAATGTTTGAGTGGGCTCTATCCATGTGATGGGAAAAGTGATGCACACCTTTTTACTGTTCCACAAAACCGTACAGTGTGCATTGTTGCACAGGGACTCTTTGTTCGTTCAGACCTCGGTGGAAGGATCAGAGGTAGGGAGCGGTCGCCGTGTGCTGTGACATGTTTCAGCCCTTCCTCTCCCTTCCAGCTCTAAGTTCAGGGGAGAACATTGTGCGCATGCGTTCCTGGGAGGCAGATGATGCTGTCAAAAGAGGCAGGGATGAGAAGTTGGGCTAGGGGGTGGGGGAGAGAAGAAAATGACACAGCTGCCGAGCTGCCAGAATTATGCCCTGCAGCATAATGTTGAATTTATTCGATGCAGTCACATGACATGTTTTGGAGGGCCAGTTGGAATGTTGCTTCTATTCATATTTATAATGTTACAGATATGATTCTGATTGAATTGTGGGGGCCCTTTTTAACATGCTGCTGTGAGAGTTTGTAGGTGTTTGCTCTCATCATGTTCTGTTTGGCCATTAATGGAGGCCGCTTTCCCATAGAGAGGCAGCCTAAAAATGAAAGGCGGCTGATATGTATGGAGACTTCATGAAATGGTGGCGGTTGCTTGGTGGGCCGCATCTTTTGTGCAGCTGTGATGTTCCGGAAGAATTGGGAGCATCTGGAAATGTTCTCGATGATTTTTCCAGCTTTTAACATCTAAAGAGCCTGCTGAGTTCTGTCTTGTTTCATACCATGTCCAAGTTTTGATTGCTCCAGACAGCATTGTAAAAACAATCACATATACCAGTAAGAAAATGTGTTTGAGGGCTGATCCATTCATAGCCACAGTGGTACCATCTCCACACAGTATGGAGAAAGTAGCAAGCTTGAAGCAACCCCAC